TTTTATAAAAATAGTATAATAATTTTATACTATTGCTAGTTAACAAGAAAATATAAAATAATTATTAAAATTAGCTTAAAAGTTATTAAATATTATTAATACAAGTCACTCTGGTTATACCGACACTCTTTAGAAATAAAAAAATTGTCGATATATCCAGATGTCAGATTAACAAGTGTCTCTTTTTATACCGATACCATATTGATAATATATATATATGTTGGTTTAGCAAGCACCTTAGTTTTTTTATTAGCGATGATTTATACGTACGAAGTACGTAGAGTATGGTTTACAGGCAAGTTAATGTGTCTGTACAATTTGCAGCATCTGATTGGTCCATGTAACTCTATTTACCTCATATCGTTATATATTATATGCATTGCCTTTGTGTTTGTACATGTGAGCATGGATTATCTGATATCCTGTCTATGATCAACACAACATAATCTCTCATGTGGAGTATAACCAACAAAAATAAAAGCCTAAACCATATGAATTAACAGATATTATAATAAATGATGGTAAAAGCTTGATTTTTGGGCATAAATACTGGTGGCCTGATGCAGATTTTCGCATATGTTCAGTAGATATTTAAGATTTTCTGTTTTATTTTTGCTAAATTTTTTATTGGGTGATGTAATGATAATCAATGATCGTCAAGGATTTGAGCAAAAATTTTTTTTTGCCATGTTAGTCGCTGAAAAGTTGTGCAGTTTAGCACTAGCCAAATGTGATTTAATCCCAGTCAAAAAGTCATCTGTTAGATATCAAGATAATAAGGAGTATTTGGCTTCCATGATTTTTATCGTATCCCTTATTGGGTTAGAATTACTTTATGTGAAAAGTCATTATGAATCATACTTACCTCCTGTAATCTTGATTATGTGTATTGAATCCTATTTGTTCTCGCAGTATTTTCGCAGGGCCTTTAATCTATGCTATTGATTATTGTGAACTTTGCCAATTATGCTCTGGTAAATATTCGAAAATATCATAATTGCAATAAGTTACAATTCGACAAGTCTGGCATTATATATGTACTGTACCTTAGGTCTGACACAAATTAATTCCAAAGCTCGATTTTAAATTTCGTATACAATATATTTTTCCATTCCTGGTCTTGCACGCAGCTACTTATTTTAACTATAAAGAGAAAACCTGCAAATCTTATCTAATAAGATTGGCAGGTTTTTGCAGCAATCATATCAACTTGCGGCTGATTTTGCTGCTAACCAATTTGGTCAAAACTAGTTGCAAATTCAAGTATATATTTAATAAAAACTAATTAAAAAATAAACCAGATTTAATCAAGGAGTTTGTTCTTGAGAGTTGCATCGATTGAAATTTATTATTAATAGAGTAACCAAAATGGTTATCTATTTTTTTTTTTGGTAAGGTGGAGCGAGACTATACTAGAAACTCATAGCTATAATAATTATTAAAAAATTTATGTTTATTGCTGTAATGATCATATATTTGAATACCATAAGTTATTGTAAAAAATTGTTTAAAGGAAATAGCTAGAAGCCTTTATAAATTAAAATTTTAGATGCCAGTACTAAATTTTTAATTAGATAATCACTTTTTGGAGCCATAATTATAGTTGATTGAAGGATAAAAAAAGATAGTTCAAGTATGAATCATTATAATTGTGTCAAGTTTGAGTATTACCTCAATTATAGCTAATTAAGGGTAGTGTTTAAGGGTGCTTGAGAGTAGCCATTATTAATAATGATAAAAATGTAACTTGGATAAAAAATTAATAACGATAATATCAGATATATTTATTTAAAATAGTTTAAGTTATATAAATAAAATCATCTTTGTTCTGTACTGAATTTAAAACAAATTGGATTTGTAAAATAATGTAATCATTTAATAAATTAACATTTAAATATTATTATATCTACTGCTTATAAATTGTTTATACTTACTATTTCTGATTTATTTATTCTTTAATAAAAAACAAATCCAATTTTGTTTGCTTTGAATTTTTTTTTGTTAAATAAGCAAGCTCTTTTCACAACTGTTTAAGTTCAGCAAAAACTTTAATATCAATTTAAAATTCGATTCAAGCTGTTCAATATAACCCAATACTGAATCTATTCCGGTAACAGCTTAAGTTGGCATAACAGGTTTTTGCTTCTCTAGTCCTTCTTCTTCGGGTTCACTTTCTTGCATTTCTTCTATAAGCTTGTTAATTGTAGGCATTTTACCTGTTGCATATTTATTATCAATTTCGATAAACTCATGTATAGAAATATTTAAATGCTCAGGGTTTTCAGGATTTTTTAAATCTTGAAATTATGTAATGAGATTTTCTAATTCTGTTTCCTCATTGTCATTATTTATTTTAGCTGAAACTTCCATATTCAGACATTCATCAATTTCTGCAAAAAGAAGAATACTAGTTTTTTGCTATGAATGAATAATTGTACCTTCAGAAATCTTATTTCATGCCTGTGCAACAAACTGAATTTATCATAAATTGTAACAGGATCTGGGGGTTCATTGGTTAGATTTGCTTCATCAAATGCAGCAATTCAGTTTTGTAATAATAGCTTGCGATAGTGACACTAAATTGTATAAATGTTATTGTTGTTAACAATTATTTAAAATTTAAAAAAATTTTAATACTAACCTTAAATGAGTAGATGATTCCAGCATCGCATAGTTGTAACCATGCCGTAGTATTTTTTGGAAGAAAAACTATATTAATATTAGACAAATTCGAACCTTCAATAGAATGTGCTGAACAATTATCTACAAGTAAAAGAATTTTTTGATGAGCAAGACGCATTTGACTATCTAATTGCAATAACCAGTTTTGAAAAATCAAAATCTGCATCCAGGCCTTTTTGTTCCAATAATATTTGACAGGTAAAGTTGATTTTTTTATTTCTCTTATCGCATGTGGATTTTTAAATTTATGATTAAAGTCCGGAGGCAATTTATGACCAACTGCATTGCATGTTAACATTATTGTAACCCGATTTTTTGGATTTTTAACACCCGCAATACGACCATGAGTAAGTGATTTTAAAGGTTCTAAGAGCCAATAAAGTGCTGTCTCATAGCAATTATAAATATTTACAAGATCATAATTTGCTATATTATTTTGTAAAGATAAATGAAACTTTGCCAATTTTTCAACTGGGGTACTAGCAGCCTCACCACTTTGTGTAATACAAACAATATAGTATCATTTTTTAAAGCCTTGCAACCAACCATCAGAAACAGCAAAATTTTGAATATCTAAAGCATTTGCAATTTGTTTTGCTTTTTCTTGCAAGATTAAATCTGTAATTGTAATATGATTTTCTAATGCAAGATCGAACCAACATGCAAGAATTTCTTCTAATTGTGGATGATTGGGTAATCTGTTTCGTTTTTGTTGTGCAGCAGTACTTTCGTCATCCAAACTAAGCCAATAAGATAACTTTGCAAGAATATCTGCTACTGTTGACCGGCCAATTTCAAATTTACCTGCTAATTCTTGCTGTGTAAAATTTGGATTATTTTGTGCTAATTGGCATAATTCTTTTTTTGCTTGCCGCTTAATATTTTTCGAGATTTTTTTGATATTGTTTCTTTAGCTTTACCCTTGCGTTTAGCAGAAATAATTTAACTATCAGACATATTGTTACCAGCAAAAGCAATTTTAAAAATTTATTTATATATATATATATATTTTATGTAATTATTTTATTTTATTAAAAAAACTTTTTTTTATTCTTTATTATTTATGCTTTATATTCTATTTGAGTTAAAGAGTGGTGATATAATAAGCATAAATTACTTTATGAATTTAGCAAAATGGTCGTAAGAAATTGTCAATGCTAGCTTATCTATATAAATATATAACATAAATTAATAATCTAATTCTTACAAAGATCAAAAAAATGCAAGCCACAATTCTAGTTAATTTGACCAAATCAGATATACAATTAATATTGTATGAACAAGCATGTGTTTGATTTTTGTGCAAGTTAGAATTCTAGTTGAAAACCAAATTAAATATTTAATTAATGTTGCATAAACAGGCACATATATTCAAAATAAGTATGATTAGATAATATTCCCATTGATAGATTGAATAAAAAATAGCTATTATGACAAGTATAATAACATTTTTCTTACAAGAAGAGAAATTTGCTATTTTGTATTTAACAATATAACAAATATAGCAAAGATGTACAGTATCAATATTAAAATCTTCTTATATTGTATTTCAATATGATAACACCAGATATTAAGTGCTTGGCTGTAATTTATTTCTGGTATAGTACAAGATTGTCACTATAACCA